AAAAGAACCATTGAAAGTCAAGTGGAATGTCAGTATAATGACTCGTTGAAGGTATGTCAAATGTAAACTAATGTTTAAAGATACAGGATAAAGTCAAAAATCCGCTGCAAACGACACTTGAAATCCCACAATAAAAATTTTTGAAAATCAGAAGTGTGTCTGTCAGTGATATTATCATCAATAATCGTGATAATTGTGATGGATTTGTGAAATACGCTTAAATACCATTTTCTTCTTTTCTCTTGTTCTCTTCACACTCTCAGACTTACAACCGACTTATTCCTTAGGTCATATACTTTTTGATCACAACTCCATTGATCTGCAACATTCCAGCATATCAAGCCATAAAACGTTTCAAATAGAACGACTGATCATTCTCTATTCTATTGAAATATCATTTAATTCTTGACAGCTGCAATATTGGTCATTTAGGAAGAAAACCCTTACGGACTTTTCATTTATTTGACTGCTTTTTTACTATGTTTAACAAATCTCACACAGTTATCATCAATTTTATTTTTTAGGTGTATAATCACATATATATATTTGTCTCCTTGATTGAGAAAGTCATCTTTAATTGCTATTTTACAGTGTTGAAAAGTTGACTGCCAAGAAGACATCTAATCATGACGCAGATATTTTATAATTTTCTTTAATAAAAGCTCATTTCATTTTTTGAATCTTACTGCTCTTCTTCTAAGACATTTGATTTGCAACATAGTTGGATAGTTTGTATACTAATTTACTGGTCATCATCATTATTCAAAGCAAGTTTTGCTTTAAATGAATGTCAGACAGCGTAAATAACTTACCCGAGCGAATGATGAGAAAAATAACTTCTCTGCATTCAAATCTTTGCTGTTCATCGCATATTTTTTATCATAAGTCTGCAAGAAAAATGAATTCATAAAAAAATATATAAAATAACAATAGAATCAGTTTTCTACAATACTCAATAATTTTTAATATGCCTTTATTGAAACATCAATGTTTTATCTCTCATAATCAGTGGATTATTTGAAGATTTCATAGATACTTGCGAAACAATTTGACTTGATGTATTTGGAATATTTTGCAGTTTCATATTTTATCCAAGTTCTTGATTTCAATGTAAATAAGAATATCCATATTAATGATTGCCTATATTCGCCTGAGAAAGCAACGTAAATCATTAAATTCGGAAAATTCTCTCTTTCTTTCATTGGAACTCGATGAATGTTTAATTAGTTTATGATAAATGTAAACAATCATTCAATTATCAACAATAGGTTGACTTTAAATGTACAGACTCATTCATCACTTCAATTGCAAATGCAACGATATTAGTTCATTGTAAAAACGCTTAAACGCAATTCAGACAGACTTATCGCATTTAATAAATCCTCATCTAGTAAACTCGCCTAATAGTCATGCTTTTGTCAAATGTGAATAATGGTGATTACAGAATTAGTACTTTATCAAGATTCACGTACTTTCAACGATAACAGAAGTCCAATTATATCAACTGACATTTTTATCACCGAATTCTAGTTGAAATGAAAATCAATGAGATAACATATCTTTTACTGATTATGTGTAAAAATATATAATGAGAAATCTAAGCTTCATTTATTCAAAATTATGACATGTCAAATTTGATATGAATTGGATGGTCTGTTTTGAAATAAACATTTGTGGAGTCAACAGTTTTGCACTAGTGCTACGAAAACTGGTTTTCGGATCATGGTTGAGTAAAGTTTCTCATTTTACACCCCTAGCATGATGTCATTCGAATCCTATGTATAGGTGGTAAACGAAATCTGAATGTGTAGCGGAACAAGCATTTTATGAACCATGAGTCTCCCAGTATTTGGTTCTCAGGTTAAAACATTTGAGGATTGTACATGGCATTGAACAGTAGTTGATGCTTCTGATGTTATCACTGCGTTCATGTTTCTTATCTTTATCTTGCGTGTCTGATAAAAAATGCATTATTGAATATCCGTACACGTGTATATAAACAGAATATTGGCCAACCGTTTCATTTTAAACTGCTCTTATTTGATATCAGGTGAATTTGTTGGACTTTTACAACCAGAGTATCAATGGCGTGTTTGTGAACTGTACATAAATCATGACTACAATGTTGACTTAACGATTCAAGCGTGTAAAAATTTATCCAGCTTCCTAAGTCCTTCAACAAATCCGATTTGAAGTACTTATCTCTCACAAAATAACACTATTTTCCTGTCGAACATCTTCAAAGCTCCTGACTGTAAGCCGAACTTAAGAGCATTTCTCAATTCATCGGAAGTCACAAAAACAGCAGTGCGATAATAGACATCCTGTTCCTGTTTTGGTACTGACTAAACACAATTTCTAGTGAGTCGTACATACCAATATTTTGATCTGCTGCTGATAAGATTTTCAAGCTAGTAAGAGAACGATCAATTATTCCACATAGAGAGATACAATGGTATGTCTTTATTTTCGTAAGGTGAATTATTTCTTCGAAAGAAATATCACCTACAATTTTTGTCGTTTGAGCACTGCTACTTAAAAGTAGTTTCACAAAAAATATCGAAATCTTTGCAAACATAAAACTTGTGTTAGGACAAAACACTCCCATAGTAGTCCACTTACTTTGTCTCATCCTCCTGACGGCCAGTTTGTTCTGATAAACAACCACTCGCTTTTCAATTGGTGATGCATTTTCTGCTTCACATGTTGACTTTGAGATTTTTTGATCATTTATTTTGTTCATAGCGCTTTCCCAACGACTTGCACGTTAATATTTTGCTTGTATCTTCGATGTTCGCTTTAACTTTCGTTCCATCCTAATATATGTGAATAACAGCATTCTATTTGATAAAAATTGTATCCACGAATTTTTTATCCTAGGAGCTCATTTTGATGATTGAATTATTATATTCAGTCCTGAATTTCAATCAAGACCATGTGAGATATTCAGTTGATTTAACAAACAAATTATATTTTCAGATGGAAAATTATTACACATTTCAACATTCATACTCACTATTTTATAGATTAGGAAATTCAAGAAAAGATGACGCATCAGTTTTTTTATAAATATGTAACAGTTTACGCCTAATAACTCTTGAAATAATACCAGCGAACAACCTGATTTAACTACACATTTCTTTTGACAACTGAGAGATTGCTGTTATTGTTAGATGCCTATGCCAAATAATGTCTTTCAGCGGTATTGTTAGATGCTTCATCATGGGTTTATATGTTAGGTGGACACAGTTCATCCTGATTGTGGCCGCATACGATCACTCAATGCGTGTGGGTTTTCAGCAATATTGTAGATTAGAGAAGTTCGTCATTTCAACTAAGTGAATGTCTCTTCTTTACTATGGATCAAACCAACTACCTTTTAATCTGATGTTAAACACAGAGCATTTGAATACTTACTTTGAAATTCAAACTGTCCATGTGCTTTAACACGAGTCAATATGAATCAATGAATAACACACAGTCGGTATTCGATACACTTAATCGGTATCAAATGTTGATCACTTCACTTATATCCATTTGATTTTCACTGTGATTCAGTTTATTTTGCCGGATATTTTTTTCAATATATAGCAAACTCCATAAAGCGATCAACACCAAATCAATATTGTCGCTACTATTCACAGTCTCACATTACTCTTCTACTACTTATGAAAACAGTAATAAATTGGATGAACATACAAATTTCTGCAAGCACCACCTTTCAAGCCGTCTCATTGAATAACCCTAAAACCTGTTTCCTATTATCAAAATATTTCATCAAATTACTTATTTGTTTGTCTCTACATGTCATTTATGTCTACTAATCGCGAAAATCGCTTCACGTGCGCATAAAAAGTGTTGACGAATTATCGTTTCACGAACTATAAAACAGTACATTTCGAGACATGGACTTGGCTGTCAATCTGCGCAGAAATCAATCATCTGTCATAAGATATCAATTTGCGAACTACTGACATACAACTGCCAGACATTGATTGTTTTATGAACAAAAGTGAATGAAATATTTCCTGCTGAGAATTCTGTTTTGTATTCAATATGTAATCCAGAAACAACATCCTTGATCGACTCACTGAACTCTGTATTTTGAAAAAAATTCATATGCACAAATACATGTCTGTGATTAGTAACTTATCTTATCGATGAGGTGCAGAAGCATCAGCCTACGGATATCAGTGAATGTAGTTCAATACTTGAATGGCATTAACGTGTTACATATTTAGACTAAATATCTACTCATAACTGATGTGGTTAAACCTTACAAACCAAACCTTCTTTCTAATTTTTTGAAAAAAAAGAAATTCGCTTTTTAAAATAACGATTTTTTGTTTCGATTTATTTGAAATAAAATATTGGGAAAGTAGTTTACACTAGTTAAATGCACTAATAAAACGAAACATTGTGTGACATTTCAGTTTACCAGAGATAATTTTGATGACAAAAGTCCATAGAGATCAGTTAAAAAAATATCTATCATATCAATTGTTTGAATGAAATAATATAGAAGAACTCTTTTAAGTCGTTTGATGAAATATATGTTCTCAATAGGCGTTATCCATTACACTTGGTTCAGTTCATCGAGGTATGTGAAATATTAGTTGAAACGAAATTTGAATAGGAAAATAAGACATATTTTGTGAGATACTACCATTTTGTGCTTTCTGGTCAGTCACATACAAGCAACATGCTATTTGTGTAAATACAGGTTTGAAGATAAGGTCAAAATCTCTTAATTTGTATGACATTCACTCACTGGAACCATGGTAAACAAAGGTCAACATACAGTTGTTTACCATGTTTGATTGTACCCATACGATTACCTTCTTCGTTTACTGCTTTTGTATAACTTGCTATTGCAGAATAGGGTAGGTTGATTTTGCTACCTTACTCTTATGCTGCATCAACATATTAAATTAACTTATCCATATTATTGTAATTAATATGAGCGTTTCAATATGTAAAATCACAACCCATTAGAACCATCATATGGTTTGTCTTGAAAGATTTCGAAAAATCGTGAATATATGTTTGGAATTTTTAACAATAATATCAGCATTATATTCTTGAATCAATGGATTTTCTTCAATTGTATTAAATGGAAATTTACTGTCAAATTCAAAAGTAGGTGAATAAAAATATGTATCATAAAACATTGCAGCAAATAACCCATACAATTTTGAGTTAGTTATAGTTTTCTCATATACATTACTACTTTTCTCATTACAAGTAGTAGACCATTGAATTTCTATTTCTTTCATTTGTTTTCGTTTCTCTTTCTCAGGAAAATCAGTACGTTGAATGTAGACAGCATCAAAACCAGCGTCTTGATACAAATCTGAATGATCACGTGCATATCCGAATGGATCAATTTGCAAAGCAACTAATGGATATCCACATTCACCAAAGAATAAATCACGTCCAAGTGTCAACTGGTCAATTGCATCATTGTAATAGACTGTAGCTTCATCAACCATACTCTAACCACCTGAGGCGAATTGTATTCGTCCTGTTTTGACTGAATCTCTGACCTTATGTTGTATTTCTTTCCACTTAACTGTCTATCACTGGTAAAAATACATTATTTCAACGTAGGTTAAGTGAAGTTTTGGATTATGAGCGAAAGCGGATACAGCACTCTCTAAGATATATTGAACGCCAGCTTGTTGCATTATGTTGTTCGTGCCATAATAATATTGTTCGACTGTTTTCAAAGAGACAACATCATCATGTGTATGAGGTACTAGATGAACATTAGCATATCATGATTTTCCAGTTTCACATGACTCGTAACCACATTGAGAAGAGGAAAAGTACTTAAACAAATCACTGAAACTAATACTATAACATTGATTTGTGAAAAGTAATAATATAAATTGTATGGCTATAAGTTTTGCTATGGTTCAGTGTGATGCCGCAAAATTCTACTTTAAACAGATCAGAATAATTTGAGGAAACGTTGACACGAAATAGAAGGTTTTTGTAATTGCAAATGTGAAATTCGTCTAATTTCAGGGCTTTTATTGCATTTATTTTAATCACTCTAATTTTATTGATTAACAGATTTATCAAAGGTGTGTGCGTGATTAACTTCTAGTAAATTATATAACATTTAGATTGACAATTTCTCGAATTGTTGTATAGTTCTAACCTTTACATAAAGATCGCTTAACTTAAAAAATAATCTATGACTGATTTTCTTTTATTGGTCTTATAGATTATTAGGTTCTAATACGTTATGGTTATTCACGTTTGCAGAATCAATTTTGAAAGTTTTGTTTTTGGAAAATCCCTGAATGTATATATATTTGCGTTATAATATGACTCACTGTTTCTGTTGATATTGTGGTACTCCATTTGATTCCATTTTGAGATTTTATCATTGTATTTTGTTATTATTTTTATATCTTGTGCTTATATTGACGTTTTTTGTGTTTCCTTCTGAACTGTACGTATGTTGCTTAAATTTGATATTTAGTATGGCTACAGGCATTTTTGGATTGATACTCTAGCAGTAACGGACTGGAAGCACTCATTCTTCCAGAAACGAAACCTATCGTGATAACTGGAAACTCGAAGTTGTAATATTGTTATTTCTATCAATAAATAGGAATGTTTATTCCCAGAATTAGCGTTTTTGGTCCTGGACTGGACGAGACGCGTATGAACCTGCACTTTTCGAGTTGGAGCGAACTGAAAGAGTATTCAATCTTCTATAGTTCAAAAACAACAATTGGAGGAAGTTCCTTTGAAATTTTCATCGTTTACAAACTCAAAACAATACTTGGAAGAAGATCCTTCGAATAACTTCTCGTTTACTATTTCTTATCTTTTGGATATTTTACTGCCAAACGGTTACTAACGATATTGGAGAGTAGTCTTTTGGATTTCTCATTGCCGACAATAATTGACGAGGCTGAACCGCTGAAAAGTATTATTTGTTCTTTGTTGTTTCTCTTCCGTTTCATCACAATTGCTCATGAGTTTTTGTAAGAAATCAAACACGAAGACGGATGAAGCTCATGAAGAATCCTGGAACGCAAGGCAAGTTGCTTATGGTACTTCATTTTTAAAGGGTTCACTCTCTGATAAGAATGATATTATGCTTAGTACTTACTGTCCTAAGTCATCATTATAGGGTACTAAAGGACGAAGATTGGAGGAGGACTAAGAGGTATCTAGGATGGATTTGAGGTCTAGGACACCAGAAGTTGGCTTAGAAGTGCCAAAGTTGGAACTTTTTTTCGTTGACGTCAGACATCGCAATTACTAAGCGGTTAGTCAAACAATTTGACACATTCATAGGACCTTGAGTTATTGATGACAATTTGCGCTTATTTTATTTAATCCCCTATTTTTAAGGAATAGCTAGGGATTCGATTGATGGATGTCTTTTCATGGAACCTGATGCTGGATATAGAAGAGCTAAGGCTATTCCGAATTGGCTTTTCGGAAAACCGCACGTAATCGCTCCTGAAACCTTGGAAGACTTAATAAGATCTAGGAATGCTGATTATAATTATGCAAAGCAACTTTTGAATTTTGAAATTATTATGCAGAACGTTTCCTTGACTCTGGAACAGCTTAATTATATTGCGCAATTGAATTTTTTAGTAACAGTTTAGAAGATAGTCATGCTTTAACCTCATCGTATGCAAGTCCGGTGGGCAGAGCTGGAAACCAAACGGGATGAAGAGGATAGAGAGCCCACATTCAATTAATTGACTGACTTTATTTTGTCTCGTTCAAGAGTAGCTAGTAGTAGATTTGGACGAATAGCTAACCTCACAAAAACAGGACATGATATGGAAGCGATTAGTCATCTGCTTGAAAAATATGAGAATTCTTTGAATGTGTTTGCACCTTCCTCACCCTTGAAACATAAGAGAGTCCTAATTGTTTTAGCAAGGTATATTCTCTCAAAGAACGAGCATGTAATCCCGTCATGTGTATTCTAGTGAGAAGTCGGTATCTGTAGCAGAAAAATGCAGAATATATAGGCAAGACGGATCCGAGGTATGTGATGGGAGAAGCTTCTCAACGACTCGAAATGTAAGAAACGGTGATTTTGATTCAAGCTGACAGAGGTTATTGGGTGCAGTAAATATGATTAAGGATCATTCAAAGTCGGATCAGTCGATAAACTGAGGAATAATTAAAAAATAATGCACAGTGGTGGTATCGGATTCTGATTCTCGAGTGGTAAAAACTTATCGATCATTATGTGTTGTAAAAAGTCGGGGTTCTCATTTAAGGATTTATACATCCATTATACATGTGGATAATACTTGCCGGAATATGCACAACAGTATTTTAATATAACAAACAGTAAAACAACTCATTTCATACCTTGAGTGCAATAAAACTATCAATGCTATATAGGATTTCAGTTTAACATAAATCAAATGTACATTCAGCACTTAAATTGTCATCTACACCCATTTAATATCTATTTCACTGTTTTCTACGACTACAAAACAGCTCTGATGGATCTATTATTCGAGCATATACATATTACTTTTACTGTATATTAAAATGGATATCATAAAGGGAATAGATTCAAAAGCACGTTTTCGAAAACTGTCCAGTTATTAGCAGTCAAATTTTGATTTGAAATAATAATTTACTAAAACAGTTTAACTAACACATTACATCCAATAAACCTAACAGATAACTCATTTGACTTAGATACAGAATTATAAACATCATTTTAAATTATGTTCGAATGATAGTTACTAGCATGAAATTCGTATTCTTTGTATATAGCGTGTGTGATTGTTCGATGAGTATCATAATGGGCCGCGATATCACTGCAGTGACCCTGAAATATAAAAAATGCACGACAAAATAGACGGATGTGTACATAATGCACAGAACGGGGCTACACCGATTTCTTTAAACGTTTTGACTACAGAATACATAAAATCCAGATGACCATCTGTTTCGAATGAGTTTGTTCAAAAAATTGTCAGTGTAGTGGAAAATGACTTTCATGAAATATCGTGAAATGAGACGAGACAAATTGAATTGTTACTGGAGTAATTGAACTTTGTCACTGACATTGCACTAGAATCCCTTGTTGTCATAGTTGGAATACATGGATTTGATAAACCCATTATTTCTACATTTATTTGGATTTGGCAATAATATGGCTGGAATAAATGATTTGTTAATACCCGAAATACGCCTGCATATAAATGCGTTTCTGTACATTTATTTACCACACGTTAGCTCTGTGGGTGGAACAACAGTTTCAAATATAACTATTCCGTTTCACGCAATTTAAGGAATAATGAACTCCATCAAAACATCGGATTACAGCTTGAATTACATCACGTTTAGAAAATTTTCAATTTATAATTGTAGAATTTAAGAGATCCGCAACCTTCATTCAATACAATTACCGAATTGCATCGAAGTATGATGTATGGAAGGTGACGTGTGTTCATTTTATTTGTTTCAGAAAAGAGCGTTTGCCGAACGATTGTCTTTGAGTTTGTATACGTCTGAATGCACATCTCTGATGAATGAAATAAAATTCTCTCAATTTATTGTCTAAGAAATCATGATTGATGCTTCTAATTTACGTCATTTGTGTGTATTGTTCGACCGAATTTCAAAGTTAGTTGCTATCTCCATCATCAATAATTATGTTAGTTCAGTGGTTTTACTCATCTGAATGCGTATTATAGAGTTGAAGTATTTGCCCAATATTCCACTTCGCAATGGATCACGATGTTCAATATCAGTAGATCTCGTTATAACTTATCATGTTGCTGTAAGATATGATGACGGTTCACTTGGAACTACTCACATTCATTTGAATTACATTGGAAGCATTCCAATTGTGACAAAGATGAAGTTCAGCTAAACAAAATCCGTTTCCTGTTACTGAAAAATGGAGGCTAATTTATCACACTGTTCATCATCGAAGGTGACGAGGGTACCAGCAATACTATTGATATGGACAAATTAGAACATTTTTGAGTTTCACAGAAACATTCGGAATAAATAAGTGGATGTTGATCAGTCAACAGATGTGTGTGCTAAACTCAAATTTGCCTGAAGAATCGATATGAATGTTTGTTATTTCAAATTCAGTTACTTATCTATTTTAAATCATGATGATATATAAATTACCTGAAGTCATTTTAACTAATGTGAGAATTTTTTCCATACCACTCTGTTGTAATGAGAACATTGTTTGTGGAAAAAGACTGATTGTATGTTCTTAAAATCTATGCGTATTAGAACATCGATGCAGTTCAATGTACTGATATCTTCGAAGCGATTATACCATGAATGAAATCACGATACCGAAATGTCGAACGATATAATTATTTTGAAGTTAACAAACTGACATCATTAATTACCAGCGTTCATTTGACATTCTCCCGTTTGTATAGTCAAATACTTCAAACATTGAATAACATATATAAAAAATATACATGTATATGCATATATATATATATATATA